TTTGATTTTTGTAGATGATAATGACTTTTGGGTTATGTTAAAGAGAGGTGGGGCTCCTATCTTTTAGAGAACCAACCTAAAGTAATTATGGAAAAAGCTCCATCTTACATCTGGTTAAACCAATCCAATGGTGGGATAAGGATAACAGATGGTATAAAATAGATTATGGCTTGATCCAATTTTAAAGCTGGGTGATGGGTACATGAGATCCATTAAACTCTCCCTTTTTGTAAATATTTAAAATTTCCAAGACAAAAGGTTTTAAAAGGTTGATTGGTTACTAAGCTAAGAGTATATTCATACTGATTGCTAAACATCAATTGAAAATTGAAGATAAGGGATCACCATAATTTACAAACCCCCTACCAGCTGGTTTCCATAGGTAGAAAAAGGGAAAAAAGCATTAACTATCAATTTATTACCAAGTACAAAAATCCTTAGAATTCTGACATTAATAAAATTAATAAACTGATGAGATGAAATAACTCACAACTTCACTTCATTACATAACTCTTAAGAATTCTCAACAAAATGTAATACTTACCTAAGATTTTAAAGTGAAAAATAAAACTACAAGAAAGCAAAGGGATCACCATAGCAGTTAAGTAATGTTGCCTTTGGATAAAGAAAGTTGATAAAAGACTAAGATAAATAAAAATTGTAATAAAATAATACATGATGTTATTTTTTCTCTAAGGAATTACTTTATTTCTCTGACAAGTCGGACTGAATAAAAGTCCAGTACTGCCCTAAACATTTCTCGAACAAATATTTACTTTGTTAATACAAAGACATTAAACTTTAGAGTCACTAGAGTTTCTTTGGTGTCTAAGGCAAAAAGGGTGTCCAATAGCTTTGGTAAATAATGTAACTAAAATTAAATTTTTAATAGGTGATAAGGTAAAAATAAAACATAAGAGCATAAAAATAAACTATATTGATATTCTAGAAAAAAACTATATGTAATTAGTAGAAAAAAATTTTGGATAAGATATGCTCTAGACCCTGATGCTACTTTGGAAAGGACAATACTCTAGGTCTGAGAAAGAATCCTTGACTTTCAGCAAACTATTAACCATAATAGACCACATTTGCAAGCAGGCATGACATGTGATAAAGTTTTAGTGAAAGTGTTTTGTTTCAAATCTCCTGAAGAGACAATGTACAATTATGTACCACCTCAAGAATGGGAAATTACACTCCATCTATGTATAATATGTCAAAATACACTCTACTGTCATATATATCTAAAAAAACAAATAAAAAATTAAATTAATATAAAAAAAGAAGTTCATGGGACTGGAATAAGAGTAAACAGAGAAAGAACAATTGAAATGACATTGTCAACAGGCAGAAGTTAGGGACAGTATGGGCAAGTTCCTGAATGAGTTGAGGTAATTCACTTCTCCCTTCTCAGCAAGGAAACGCCAATGGAAGTTTTCAAGCAAGGAACGATTTAAGGTATTTTTAGGACTACAATCAGTTCAGTATTGGTAAATGTTCAAAAACCGACTCAAAAAAAAAGAAATACATTGCACTATTATTATATTCAATTTCCACCATACAAACACAAGAGATGTAAGAGTAAAGCTCAAGATGATATTAAAATGTAATAAAATAAGCAGCTTAGGAGCCTGAGGCAGGAGGAATATGAGTTCAAACCCAGCCTCAGCAACGGCAAGGCACTAAGCAACTCGGTGAGACCCTGTCTCTAAATAAATATAAAATAGGGCTGGGAATATAGCTTAGTGATTGAGGCCCAAATTCAATCCCCAGTACCAAAAAAAAAAAAAAAAAGAAAAAGAAAAAAAGAAAAGTAATAAAATAATTAGAAGGTGAAAAAAAGAGAGAAACAATGTGCATGCCTTTTGCCTATTTTTCTTTGCACTCTAAACATTCTGTTGTAGAATGGCCAGAATTCTACCAGCCATCTTGAAAATAAAATATTATTTGTTTAAACAACAATTATTTCAGGTTTTTCTGTAATTTGAAAACAAACAATCCTAATAATACAAAACCACATTCCTAATATTACCTTATGATTTAAAGAGTTACTCAACAATAAATAAAGAAAAAGAAAATGCTAGAAGGAAAAGCAACATACAAAGTAAGAGAAAACACATTAAGTATTTCTACATTTTCCTCCTAAGAATGAGAGAAAGGGGTTCAATGTCTTAGGGTCTTTTTTCTCTAATACAGGTAGTTAGCATGTTTAGTCTAGATTTAAGCACCTACCATGTGCCATGTACTAAGGTGCCTGAATACAGAAAAAGATTCCTATTTCAATAAAGCTGAAAGGTGAAAAGAAGCAGATATTTGATTCAATGGGGGGAAAATACACAAAATGCTAAGCTATTCTTCCACTGAAATACCTTATCACTATCAAAAATATAAAGAAACTATAATTAAATTCTTCTTTTAGAATTAAGGCTCTGAATGAAAACCAGAATAATTTATTATTTGATGCAACTATATGAACTGTTTCTGTGAAATTAATTTGTGAAGAGTATTTTTTTGCATTTTATGTAAATTTTTTGTGAAAAGAATATTTTATCCATGTTTTAATCTCCTATGGGAAAAAAATTTCTTGATATGTTCCCAACAACTTCAAACCTATTTTTATAGAATAAGGCTGAACACTGAAATGACCCTGACAAAGCGGGTTTTGGTGAGAAATTTACTGAAGGAACTTAAAAGCTTAAGTGAACTGAGAGGCACAAAGATAATCCAGTCATAAAGAAATTATTGATCAGTCAACCAAAGGAACAAAAAATTTTAGTATCTAAATAAAACATAGGAAACCAGATTATGAAAAGGCCAGAGTAATTTCTAAATATGCCCAATATCAGTAAAAACAGATCTCTACTTCATAACCACTTAAAAGCGTTTGTGAAGATGATAGGAAAGTTAACATACATGAGCACAAGATGAATACCTGCGAAACGATAGAGGTATGACAGATGCCAGAGCTACACTTCAAATCAGAAGGAAATAATAAAAAAATAAGCTGAGAGAGTACCAAAGAAGTCGCCTAAGGGCAGAAAAGCAAATAACTTAAGAACAGAAGAACAAGTCACCTACTCCTGGTGTTTATGCACTGAAGTCTACTACCAAATGATTTAGAAAATAATGGCTTTAGTACTTTACAATTGATCTCTACAGATCACGAGTTATCACATACCTAATTTTACATGAAAGAAGTGGCTTAGGCACCTCAAATATCACAAAGTGATTTTTAACACAGTGATACCTTCAATGTATTATATATGTTAAAAGCAATATAGTCTTGTTTTAATAATCACACTTTAATCATAGTATAATATTTATCATATTTTTTATATTTTCCCTATCTTAAATTATGTCATAAATTTGGCATGTGTGCTGATTGTGTCACAACTGTATTACGGTTTATGTATGAACATTTTGTTACAGTTTCTTTATATTGCAATACATTATGGTATAAACCACTTTGTGATATTTGAGATGCCTAAGACACCTCTTTCATGTAAAAATTAGGTATGCAGTAATTCTTGATCTGTAAAGATCAATTAGGAAAGTACTAAAGCCATCATTTTCCAAATAATTTGTCAGTATACATCAGTGCACAGGAAAAACATCTATGATGGGGTATATTTCTCTCATACACACATAATTTTCCAGGGGATTCAAAAATAGTTATTATTATTATTATTGTACTGAGGATTTAACCAATGGGCACTGAGCTATATCCCTAGTACTTTTTATTTTTTTTATTTTGAGACAGGGTCTGGTTAAGTTGCTGAGAGTCTCAGTAAATTGCTAATGCTGGCCTCAAAATTGCTGATTGCAATCCTCCTGTCTCAGCCTCCATAGTTACTATGGTTACAGGCATGTGCCACCACGACTGGCTTCAAATGGTTATTAAATATAACAAGATTTAATTGTCAATATACCTTTGACACCCAACTTGTGATGAAAGCAATAATCTTTATAATCTGTTGATTACTTAGTACTGTTTATAAAAGTGAATTGATTATTGAATTGAAAAGCACAGTTTTTTTAATATGAAAATATAGATGTCACAAAACCTGATGACAGAATCCAAGGTCATTATTCAACCTCAACACAAATAAAGATCAAAGACAATTCTCTTTGAAAGTGAACCTTGCTGTCCTTCTTTCAAGAGAGACTAAGTCTGTTTAATCAGTAGAAAATAAAGCATAAATGGCACAGGTTCTTAATCTGGGGTCCAAGATCTATTTCAGAAAACCCAAGAACCACCAGGCTTTTTGTAAAATTCTGAGTCTTGGCTTTCATCAGATTCTCAAATGGATATAAATCTAATGATGGAGTTAGTAGAAGTGTGATGATCTTATTTAGCAGAATAATTTCACAAGATCTTAAGTTATTCAACAGCAAAAACCTAAGTAATAGCAACTTCATTTCCATAGTTACACTGAATTTTCCTCTTTCCAAGGAGGAAATATAGTAGGGGGCGGAAAAGGCTGACACCAAAAACCATCAACTCTAGAGGTTTCCAGAAAACTATATGGGATTTCTACCCAGTTAGGACCAAAGGGAAATCATGAGACAGTTTCAGCATTAAAGAGAAAAAGAGAATGGCACACATTTTCCTGGACATCCCAGTACTCCCTCTCAGAATCTTAAGGGTGAAATCCAAATGCCACTTCCCCAGGGAGAGTCAGGTTTCTCCCAATACTAAGTAGGCAAAGCTAAGGTGAGCTGATTCAGAAACGAAATACTTTCTCCATCCGCCAAAACGAGTAGGGGGCTTGTTCATCTTGTCTGACCATATGGGGCAGGAAGGAGGTTGCAAGATAGGACCTGAAAATTAGGACAGGCGGCCCTACCATATTGATATGGGTTGTGAAAAAGCAACAGAGGTGGTGGCAAAGGTAAAACCTGAACCTCCCGGTGAGGAGCTACGTGGCACTAAGCAAATAGTGCCTGGTCTTCCTCCACCTTTTGCTTCCGCCCCAACCATTTTCCCCTTTGGTTACCAGTTGCTCCAGATGCCATAGAGTAGTTCCACAAAAGCGAAAGAGAGGTTCAGGCACAGGAAGAAAAACAGGTTCCGGGACGTCTTGTCCGACAGGATAGACCTGGGCATGGTAAATCGGGAAGAGATTAAGAGAGTCGAGGGGGTGCCGGGACCCCGAGTTGCTGTCCTTCTTTCAAGACCTACCCAGTCCACACACTCTTTTCCCCACAGCGGGAGGCTGAGGGAGTGTCCCTAACACTCCCTCTCTAGACCCTGGAGCATCTTTAGGTCTGGGCTTTCCTTCTGCTGGACACCCCCTCCCTGCAAAACAGAACCCCGCACCTAAACCAGCCCGAGATCTTGCCGAACAGATTGAACTTGGGTGGTTTGTATTCATCATCCTTGATGGACAGGGGCAACATCTTCTCTGCCCGGCGGAGGGCCGGGCCTACTCCCCTCGACAAGTGGCTCCGTGGGGTGATGGCAGTGACAGCGGTGACGCCTCAGACCGGAACCCCCAGCACCGGACTGGGGCCGCGCGTGGCTGCGAGACACAGACAGACACAGACAGACACAGACACACACCCGGGAACTAGCTGACTTCCGGCCCGGGCCGCGCAACGCGTCCTGGGACGGAAAAGGGGGTAGGCGGGGCTGTGGCGGGGGCTTCCCGGCGGAGGGCGGGGCTTACGGCGGGGCGGGGCGGAGACCGTAGAAGGGTGAGGAAAGAAGTGCAGCTACGACGGGATCTGCGCAGCTGATCCTGGCGAGGTTCCGCTACCTGAATTCACGCCGAAAATTCTGACGTGGCGACATTTGCAGACTAGGCTAGCTGAGAGCTTGAGCCCGCTCACTCCCACCCCGACCGCCTACGACCAATGTACCCGGATGCACTGAGTCCAGCGCCTGCCCCTTCGCCATTAACCCGCTCTGGGCATTGTTAGGTCCTGGTGCAGTAGGTAGCAATGCTTTAGAATCCGGGCGGCCACGTGTTCTCCCGCCCGTGCGCAGGAAGCCCAAGTGTTGGCTTTGCGGGGTGGACGCTGTGAACACCTAAATCCTTGTAATCCCCCACCCCTTCCCCGAAAACAGCGCCTGCCCCTCCTGTGCTGTTACGCGGAAGGCGGCCTTCCCGAAGGACTTGAAGGTACTTAAAAAGAGCCCTTTACAAAGAGGTCATACTAAGTTGAGATTTGGCTAAAACGTTGCTTCTCCGACGGTCTATATCCGCTGATACCCTGAAACTCTGTAATTCGTACAGGTCCCTTTCGCTTCCAGGTCATCCCCGGGGCAGCAACCTGCCTCTATGATTCTTATCAGAACCTCGCGGCCAGTTTGGGGGAAGTCCAATAAGAAGCCGGCTCGGCGGGACACAGGGGTGTGCAGGGCACCGGGAGGCGAGCCCAGCGGGCCGTGGCCGGGCAGCCTAGACCGCGGGAAACACTCTTTTGGACGCCTTTCCGGGAAACTGTTTGGATAAAGTCAGGTGGTCTGTCACGTGAATGATTAAAAGTTGTTACCTTGCTGAAGAAATGGGAAGGAATGGAGGAAAGAACTAGCTTTTGGAGTTGGCTGGAAACTACAAAACCGAGCTTCTTGGGAATTCCTTTTAGCCTAACAGGAAGTGGAGCGTCACCAAACGGGAGGGGTGGCCACTCCGTGACTGTCCCCTGCTTCAGGCGCTCACTTTGCAGGCGGCGCGTTTCCCAGGTTATAAATCCAAGGAATGATGCACGCTGCTTGGTTTAGGAAAAAGAAAAAAACAAAAATGAGCAAGCGAGACGCCCCTTCCGTTTTATGCTAACCGAGCTGCAAGCAAATAAATTGGTTCCCCCACTGCAATCTTCTGCACTCAGGTGAGGAGACAGCAAAATGCTCTCGCGTTACAATTTTTTTTTTTTTTTTTGCAGGATATATGCATGTTTGCTCCCATTCTTGGAACTTTCCGTATGAGGGATACTAATTCTCTAGTTTGATTTTTGAAAAATATCTGCATTTAAAAAAAACGTTGATGTTTTCAAGATGCTGTGTAAAAACTGCTAGGTTCCACAAATTAAGTTCTGGGAAGAGTATTTTGTCTTTGCCTATTTTAGCGTCTGTTTCATTATTTTAATTTAAATATAAAAATATTTTCAATTAGTAACATTTACTTTTTTAGGAAGCTTTTATATTTGTAATAGTTTTGCCATGCTGCTGGGGAAACCTTCATTGGGTGCAAACTAGGAAGTTCAATGATAAATATTTTCCTTGAAATAGAATTTTTTCTTCAAAAGTGCTTTATTTCAGTACTGTTTAAGGGAAGGGATATAGAAATAATCAAATTTCGGTAACTAATTTCTAGCATTCTCCTACCAAGGTCAGTAGCAATTTGAGCCTGTTTTTGTTTTCTGCCTTTGAAAATTAATTCTGCATTGTACATTGTACTGGTACAAATGTGAAATTTCTCAGCAGATTTATGGAGAAATCTACATTACCCTTTTGAGACAGTTTTGAAATATGTTGGAAAAATTGAAGCTTATTTTCAGTTGTATCAATTTCTAGAGACTCTTGAATTTCCCCACTCTCTACCCCAAATATAGAAGCAAGGTATTACCGTGTAGACCTTCTCCTTTCAAAAAAATTTTAATGCTACTTCACAGCTTTCAGTCTTGAACAGCATAATGGCCAAATTCAATATGAAAGGAATTTTTATGTGCAAATAAAAGTGTAGGTGGACACTGTTTAAATTAGGAAAAGTTCTATGAGTGGAAAATATTCTACTGTGCCTTATTTTATTATTTTGAAATAATATTTGTTTCACACTTGTTAACCTATATATGTTGTTGTGTCAGAAGTCATTTAATGACTATTTACTATATGCCAGATTTCTGTGCTTGGCTTGGGAATACAAAGCCTGGCAAGGTAAAGTTCTTTCCCTGGAAGAATTTTTATGGAGAGGAGAAGTTGAAGTGAAGAGAAGGATAAATCAGTCAGTCTAGTATTTTAGAACTGTGTGATGTGTAAGTTGTACACATGAGATGCTCTTTGAGCACCGAGGATGAGCATCTGTCAATCAATCTTTTTGTGTAGCCTAATCCATTCCTTTTCCCCTGTAATAATAATAATTTTTTGTGTAAGAACATGACGTTGGAAAATAAAAAAATGATTCATTAGCTCTATTTAGGTGGTCAGTATCATGCAAGTCTCCAAACAGGTACAGTATTCTAAAGTCTACAGCTAGAATTCTTAGTTTCTTCATGTTACAAAATTAAGTGGATATATAAGATCATAAAGTAGATATAGTAATGAATATTTTAAAACTAATAAATGCATTTTTACTATGAACTTCTTAAATATTTGTTTATATTATCAACAAAGTACAGTTGGTTAACTATGCATATTCTATGGGAGACATGTGAAGACCCAGAAATGAAAACAGAGATAATTAAGGGGCAAGAGTTCCTCTCCCACCATGGTTTCTTCTCCTTTCCAGCAACAACCAGCAAGAATGGGACAGATGCCATCTCTTATCCTCATTCATCTATCCTGGCAACACTATTTTAGACTTCATAATTTTTTAGGTGAAATAAATCAAATGCCCTATGAATTGCTGGTAAAAACAGGAGTTATAATAGTGGATTAGAGTAGAGAGATTTGTAAATCCAGAAATTGAATAAAAATGCAAATTTCTCATGTTAAGAAGTTTTACTCTATGGCATATATGTTCTAGTGTCAGATGTATAAGCATAAATACTCAGAATGATGTTAGTTTTTTCTGTTTCTGGACCTTGGAGAAAGATGAAAACAAAAATGTAGCATTATTAGTGTCAATCAACAGGAAGCCATTTTCTACCTCATGTAATTTTTAGGACACAGAATAGCAAATTATAGTTTACAAATAATTCAGACAGTATGGACATTGGCATTAAAAGCATTGCTATTTTTTTCATTCTCTGCTGATTAACAAAATATCACAGAAAACTCTTTTATTTCTCTTAGTAGTGCCAAGGGAGCTTATTCCTATCAATCACTGAAGCCATAAAAAAGTTTTTTAAAAAGCTAATCACACAATGAGGTAAGTAGATGGGTTTTTTTTTCCTTTTTCTTTTTGAAAGTATGTAGTTTATACCACTCAGTACCATTAAGTGTTTTTACATTGCTCTGTCACTAATCATCAGAACTTTTTCATCTTGTAAAACTAAAATATATATCTATTAAACAACAACTACTCATTATCCTCTATCCCCATCCCCTGGCAAGTACAGTCTGCTCTTTCCATGAATTTGACTCTCCTGAATACCTCATCTGTGTGGAATCATATAATATTTGCCTTCTTTGTGACTGGGCCAATTTCACATAGCATATTGTTTTAATGTTTAGCATAAACAGGTTTATGCATTTTTAGCATGTACCAGAATTCCTTTTTTTGTAAATCCAGTATTTCATCAGATATATACCACATTTTCTGAACGGATTATACATTTATTGATAGACATTTGGGTTGTTTCTGCCTTTTGCTGTTGCTGCTGCTGCTGCTATGAAAGTAGGTAAAATAGAAGAATTTTTAATCTGCAAAAGATTATTTTCAATAAAGATATTTTCGTTTCTTTGAAGATAAAAGTTCTTACTTGAACCAGCCAGTGTCTGTTAGAAAATTCTAGAAGGCCTTCTTCAGAATAGATACATTGAAATACTACTCCAGAATGCCTTCTTCAGAATAGATACATTGAAATACTACTACAGATTATAGATTGAAGTAAGTAGGCATACTCTTTATGTGTGTGCTATGGATGTAACCTATGGCCTCATGCTTACTAAGTATGCACTGTACCTCTAAGCTATGTACCCCCAGCCCCAATACCTGTAAGTTTGAAATATCCTTATAAACTAGAATAAAGTTGAAAATAGACCTTGCAAATGACAAAGATAATTCAAAGTGGCTCAAGCACAGAAGTCAGGAGTTTGGTTCTGACCTATCACTCTTTCTGTGGCTCAGGAAATTTATTTAATATTCTCACCCTCACATGCCCCATCTACAAAATTGAATAGATATATTTTATTTATCTTCTTACTAAAAATTTGAAACATTGCCAATTTGAGGTATTGTATGATATGAAGAACTGTAACAACTTTCTTTACTATTTCTAAGCTCAGTGAGGTAAGGAACTACACCTGCCTATTCATGGTTCCTGACAGTGCTGGACATGTGGTATGTGTTGATTGATGCAGCACCATGGATGTTTGACTTTTCTCTAATAACATGAGAAAACTCACATTTATTGGGATTGCTTCTACCTCAAATTTGAAATCTGAAAATATTTATAAGTCATATTCATTTATATGAAATCTGTTTCTCTTAGAGAAGTGATTTTGGAAGTGCTGAAAATCAGTGTTGAGTAAAAAGGAGAGGTTCCATAGAATATTCCAAGGATCTATTGCCTAATTGTCTTGCCCCCCGCCTTCCCTGTGACTAAAACAGATAGAGATTCAAATGAAAACCTCCAGTGTCCTAGAATGGGAAAAGTAATATGTTTGCAGATGTGGTTGGTTTCTCTTTGACCCATTTCTGGAACTAATTTTACATGGGACTATACTAAGCTAAAGATGCTTTATCCATTTCTAGTTTTCTTCCTAGGATACATTGACTCCTTTGATTCTTACAAGTCATTGGTATACCTCTTAGTAATAAGGCCACCCTTAATCCTGGGCAGGTAGTTGTCTGTTGAATTGATTGATCATCTCCAAGCATCATCATCATCATCATTATCATCAGGAGCAACAGTTAATTGGCAATTCAGAAGGAAAGTACAAAGCTGGAAAGAAATTTTTTCTCACAAAATTCATATCTGTGCATT